TACTTACCTATGGACGAACTCATATTAAGCCTGTTAAGAAATGTGGGCAGGGACAGGACCAGATAGTCTACTACAGATAGTATTGCCTAATATTGTATGAGGGAAGTTTTATCAATCAATCACCTACGGTCTGAGACAATACCTTTTGAAAATACCGTTTAGACCATAACTGCCCTGAGTCACTGTGCTGAACTGTAACAACAATTATCATCTCTTACGGTGTCCATGGTATTATAATATAATATATAATTATATTAAATAGTTATGTATTGTATATACATACCATAATAATATACATATATATACATATACAGTTATATACATATATCATATATACATATATAAATGTGTGTGTATATGTATATTATATATATATATAATATACATACATAAGTATATGTGTATATTATAGATAGATAGATCTTTTGACTGGTAGTGTATATATACACATTATATATATACACATACATACACACATATGTATGTATATATGTATGTATATACATATACATATATATATATATATATATATATATATACATGACACCGTAAGAGATGATAATTGTTGTTACATGTCAGCACAGTGACTCAGCAGTTATGGAACAATATGCAGCCTATGTTATAAAAAATATGAGAAGATTAACCTTTTTAATAAGTCTGTACGTTGCAGGCAGATTATTGGACGCTCTGCCTTGTTGCAGTTTTTCTTTGCAAACAAAGCAGATGTGTTAGTCTAACATGGGATTTCTGCACATCAGGCTGCTGAAAAACCAAATAAAAACAGATTGTTTACTTAAGTGCACAGCAACACTGGCATTGAACAAGTAGAGGCGAGGGTTTAAATACACGGTGCAATGAGTTTTTAAAATCATTTAAATCAACTAGTAAACAGTGTGAGGTTGTCGCTGATGTTTGCTCCAGTAGTAGCAGCAGTTTGTGTCATTTCAGTAAGCTGTCACACGCTGATAACCAAGTGGACAGTGCGAGCAGAGTTAAAAACGTACAGCGAGGAGCTTGTGCTGCGCTGTGCTTGGATTTGCATAGCCAGTACATTTCCCCATACACTTCTCTCTCGCTCCCCTCCCATCGTTCTCTCTCCTCCCCCTTCTGTTTCTATCCTCCCTCGCTGTCTTTTAGTCTCTCTACATTGTTTTCCAACACGCTCTTCTAAATATGCCGTACTTTGTCAGTATACACTGACAGACAGGGAACCTGAATGAGGTGTTTACTGCTTTTTTCCCGCCTTATTTTTATTTTTCCTACTCATCTTCTTTGTTGTGTTTTTTTTTTTTTTACTCTTTCTGCATTTTAGGTCACCCGGACTTTGATCACAATGGGGGTGAAAGACCGCCCTCAGTGTTACTTTGATGTGGAGCTCAACCGGGAGCCAGGTAAGAGAATTTAAAATCTGTTTACAGGTATGAGAATTAGTTAGATATGTAAACAGCCTCGGCTCACTTTTAAAGCCAATTACTTTGAACTGACATCATCAATAAAGATGTTTAAACAGTTTACAACAGTATGTATCTGGTTTACTTTTGTGGCCTTGGAACTTTTGATTGATATGCATTTGGTTGTACAAAATGAAAGTGGAACACCCAGTGGTACATTGGCTTGGTAGACTAGTTTTGTGTCTTTACTCAGTGCTTGTATTGAAGGCTAGCCTTGAGAAGCTACTGGCTTTATGTACTTTTTGAGCAGGAACACAGTTGATGTGAATGTAAAGACAGCACGGGCCTGCTTAGTAGCTAATTAAATGTAATGCACTCATATTTGGACAGGGAGGGACGAAACAAACCCCTCAATCATGCTTCTAAGAATAGTTTGCTCCTAGCTATGGAAAGGTTTCTATAATGTCTGAGCTTCACCTCAGGATTGTGTTAATTAAAAGTGTGCAGTGTTGCACATTTGGGCTGCTTGTAACTCTTAATTGTATCCTATTAATTTCCCCCCTTAATAGTTTTTTCTAACACCAACTGGAGGAAAGTAAAGACTAAGTAAAGTTTAGTATGTACAAAGTGAAGTGAGTTAATATGTTTCTCTTTTGTGTTTTATAGTTGGGCGCATAGTCTTTCAACTTTTTTTGGATGTTTGTCCCAAGACAAGCAAAAACTTTCTCTCTTTGTGCACTGGTGAGTAATGTTCAGTCACGTTTTAGTCAATATTAGGATTTTGCAACGTTCACTGCGTCATATAACCAAATATTTCTGTCTCAAAACATAAAACATTAAAAAAAACCTGTTTGAGAGGATAACATGAAACCGGTTTGTTTGCTGTGTCAGAGCTGAAAACTGTAAACCATAGTATTGTAGTGCTGATTTCCACAATTTGAAAACAGTGTGTTATTGATTTCTCCAATAAAAGCAGAGACATTGGGGGTTTACTGGTGGCACATGTGGTCTGAATACATACTACTGCAATCTTTCTTTGGGTTTAAATCAGGTCTGTTCCTTTCCCTGTTCATTTCTAACTTTTCCCGTCTCTACCAAAAAATAATCATAATGAGAAAATGAATAAATGAATATGAGCTATGGATTAAAAATAAGAGCAACAGTATCACGCCCCACACCCATTTTGGTCATTTGATATCTTGAGGAAAGGCGCTATGGCAGTAGTGTAAATTGTGGAGTGACAGATGGCGTACAGGGGTCCTGGTCTGTCTCCATAGATATTTCATCGCACTGTGTAGAACACAGTGTACTGTGGCAGTGTTGGTCTGCCTGGAGATAGACATAAATCTGCAAACAGTCTGCAGATCGATCCTCCCTCTCATTTTTCACCCCCACCTGGCCGACAGGAATGTGATGCTGGCAAGGGCAGACATGGGAGACGGCTGGTTAGTCCGTTCCGTTTCCTGGACATACAGACACAACATAACACAGTAATACACACCATTCATCTGGGCTGTTTGCTGTGGCTTTATCAAAGTCTCTTATGTGTCCTTTAAGGAGGGGGGATCACCTCACACCATTAGAAACCAAACCCATGGAACAATGCTGAAGCCAGTGAAGCAAAATACTTGAAGATTAGCAACCTAAGCTGACCATTTAAACAGCCAGCCCTCTGTCCTCTGAAAGCAACCTTAAACACATCTAATGAAATTTCTGCCTTCACGTCTCCTTTCACCCTAGGTGAAGGGGAATCCCGGGGGTAATAGCTCTGGGCCAATATTCTGTCCCCTGCGAGTATCGCTTCAATTGAAGATTTGTTTTAATGAATTCTGCAGTCGTGCACAGGAGTATTAACAACAGGATGCCAGAACAAAGGCATTTATTAAAACCCCCTTCCCCCAACTGTGGCTTCATTCCCTTGTTTAGAGTAAACCCCATGTGGCAACTTTCAATATTCACATTTCTTAACACTTCAAGGCATCTGGTGTGCAGAAAAGCCCTTCGTACAGTAACCGATCTGTTGAGTGTGTTGTGTTTGATGAGAGCTCAGTTAACATACTGTACATCTAATTGCAGGTGAAAAAGGAACCGGCAAAATCACAGGGAAAAAGCTGTGCTACAAAGGCTCCACATTTCATAGAGTTGTAAAGAACTTTATGATCCAGGGAGGCGACTTCACCGAAGGTAATAATGTTTAACGTATAACCTCGTTTACTTTGAAAAGTGTGTGCTTAATCCAGTTGACTGAATTAAGTTAGTCAGCCTGTGTTCACACTATTCAAACTCAATTTTTACACAAAACCAAATGAAAGTAACACAGCAAAACGCTGCTGCGACAAAGATGCTGCATTTGGTTTGTTTAAGGAAGAATCAGATGCTTAACCTGACTATGCCAGATGATGTGTTACACAGAACTATCTGTTGGAAACTGTTTGGAAAAGCAGGAAGGAGATTTAAAAAACTTGGCAGATGATTGAATGTGTCTATCACAAGCGAACTTCAACCAGTCACATCAACAAACCATATAACATAGTCAAACTCTTACCGAGGCCAGTCGGGAGAAGAGCGAAAACATCTTTTACTTGGAGAAAAGTCTTCAGTGCCGTTCTTTGCTCTTCTTTCTAAAGAAGAAATACTCTCCAGTTCTGATATAACTGATGTTAGCAGCACCTACGCTAACTTCTTTAGCAGATGCTGTAGTTGTTTTTGAGCAAACTGTCACTTCTCCCACGCAGCATCGCACACACCTAGCTTTAAAACACGGCTGTAGCTGCCAGTACTTCCTCATAGGACACTGAATGGTCTGGTACTACAGTGGCTGGACACAAGGACATACTATAGCTTGAAGCCTGGTAAGATGGATTCTCATGTGATTTCGAGTCCAGCTGCCTCGCAAGGTTGTCAAAAGCTCTCTGAGGTAGAACATTTATTTGAGTAATGGTGATGTTTTGCATGGTATCACAGTTGAAAATGAATTACAACAAAAACTGCAAAAAAACAAAATTGATAGACACTATCAATCTCATCAAAGTGCCAATATACCATATTGGCTTTGTTGTGGGTGTTTCATATTGACCTTATTGTTTCCTGAATGTGGAAGCCCCTAATGCGATTTAATATAAAAACTTGGCTGGCTTAATTATTTTAATTATTTTAAATAAATATTGTTATTTCCTGCAGGAAATGGAAGAGGAGGAGAGTCCATATATGGTGGCTACTTTGAAGGTAATGGGAATGTCAAATTATCTCATAAGCAAGCCATAAATGTTGATGATGTTGATATTTGAATACTTACGAGCCTCTGACTTAGCTATGTTTGCATGAGCATAATGTTGCATGTTTGTGGTAATAATGGGTTTCTTGTGAATTTTCCTATGAATGACTCCGTTGACCTTTACTTTTCCACTGTATACTTCTGTCTTCTATTTAGTAACAGTAGTGGGCTTTGTCAAATCAGCATGGAGAGTAGGCATTCTCTTTATTGAAAGCAACAATCTTCCTGCCTAAAATTTTCAACATATTCTTTTATTTATAGAGTGGTCTTTTGCAAAATGAGAAGGTAAGAGATGTACACAGCTCAGTAACACCATGTCCAACATTGTCCCCACCACCTTCCTCTCTCACTTAAACCAGTGCAATTGTTTGCAGTGGTGCAGGTGCACATTTGTACTGAAGGGATGTTGCAGGAGTTTCTGTTCAGACAGTCATCCTGTTAGACCCCCCAGAGCCTCAGGGCTGCTCAAATGACGTTTTATGTTATGTGGTATTTATAGCCACATGACTGCCATGACACATGCCATGATATATGATGGTATTCAGATGCAGGCTGCAGGTTTCTCTGCTTAATAGGAAGACTCATAGAGTACCACACAGAATATGTAGATCAAATAAATTGGGAAGCATTTTTAGTTTATGTGTTTTCCAAATTTGAATAACTTCCATGTATTCAATGTGACTGTTATTCTATGTGTAGGTAATTAACTATTATGTTTTCTATCTTTTATCTAAAGCATTAATCCAGTGGATTCATTTTCATATTTTAGTTTATTTAAATTGCTTATACTCATCATACTACATCATTGTGGACCATTTTACAAAGCATTCAATATGTTTGGTTTACGTTCATTTAGTATACTAAGAAAATCTCCTTCAGGGGACTTGAAACTTGCTTTAGATTCATATTGAGCATGTAATCAGCCCTTTTTTGTTTTGTTTTTCCAACCATTGCATTTTATTGTTTCTGACTTTTAATTTTTTGACAGCATAAACATTGGCTATTTCTGTTCAGTGCTCTCTGAATCCACCATTTTAACAATCCCTGCTCAAAAATGTTACAATGGATGGATAATCTATCGCAAGCAAGTTAAAATGAATTGGAAACCAATATGTTATTCTTTGGAAAATGGCCAGGATGATGTAAAGTATATATGATTTGTAGTCTAAAGCATATTAAACCAGTTTGGTAATTTTAAGAAAAGGACTAGACAAACAAAACCTTTACAAAACAGGGCTTTTATGGAAGGACTGGTAGGCGAGGCAATGATTAGGTTTCACGAATTGAAATAGTTCTCTTTTTTTTTTTTCTTGTCCTGTTCTTCCCTGAATATTTCCGTTATTATGTATCAGAGGACACTCTGTGAGACTTCGATCCCTTTTTCTCTGCTCTCGACAGATGAGAACTTCATTCTCAAACATGACAGACCCTTCCTGTTGTCGATGGCCAACCGTGGGAAGGACACCAACGGTTCACAGTTTTTCATGTGAGTAGTGTTAAGTAAATCAAATCACTATGCATCTTTAATAACTATATCATTTAACTGACCGGTCATTTGAATTATTGATTTGCTTTTTTCATTTTTTTTTTTTTTTGCTTTCTGTCCCTTTTTTCTGTTTTGAAACTGTAGAGTAGAATTTGTCAACAATCCCCTCTCTGTGTGCAGTTAGAATTCAAAGTGCAGAGAAACATGGATTCATTATTTTTTACCTACAAATGTGTTACATTTTTTCTCTTGCCGTTTTTGTGTAAAATTTACAGAAACTCTAGCATCCTGCTCTTCCAAGGTAATGTGTCTCCAAGGCTGTGTTTCTCTCTCTCTCTCTCTTTCTCTCTCCTGACTATATTTATCATTCAGTAGTTTGTATTTGCAAGAGTGTACAGTTTTTATTTTATGTCTGAACAATATTCACAAATGTCTTGAGGTTATTTGCCTTTTTGTAGAGTTTTTTTATCACTATAACAGGTTGAGAACACAAGTTAGAAACCTCCTACATGAATAAAACATAAAGGAGGAAATGTATACAGACTTTTTTTCTTTTGTATGATCCGAATTGATCACACACACTCTATTGTTGAGTGTTTTCTTTGCCTGTTTGTTGCCGTTTTTAATTAAACATCCAGAATTAGTGTTTTCTGAATTATTTGAAATCAAATATCATTAAACAAATGGTGGTCTTACAAATTCTGGACTATTTTTTTATTATTTTGAGATTTTTCCCGTGGTACAGTAAGCACTCAGTTTGTTGAAGTTACTTGTTTATTCTCATTCTTTTCCTCCTTTTTCTTCTTTTCTCATGACCCCACCACTGCCAATGGTCGACCTTCCCCGGGCTTCTTTGCTGGATTTTCCACAAACAGCACAACCAAGATGGCACCTCATCTCGACGGGTAAAATCTAATTTCTCTTTGGCACTTACAGAAGGTATTTACAGTGACACTGATTGGATCTTCCAGCGTTTTCATAATTCTTAAAACTCCTAAATACTTTTTATTTATTTGTATTATTCAAAAGTCATGACTATATAAGAAGCAATCAAGGTTAAACGAAACCTTTTTAGGTGTTTTATGGCAGTATGGGTGTGATTTGATCAGATTTAATTGACAGCGAGCAAACAATCCCCCGACTTCCATCGGATTTGGATTGAAATGTTGCTGTGTAGCTGTAACAGGCATCAATCTTTTCTGCCTCTGCAGAGTCCACGTCGTCTTCGGTCTCGTCATCTCCGGCTTTGAAGTGATAAAGAAGATCGAAGGGCTGAAGACTGATTCATCCAGCAGACCCTACGCTGATGTGAGAGTGATGGACTGTGGACAACTTATCACCAAGTCTGCTAATGATGGTAAGTTCAGAAACTGATCAGCTCTCCCTTTTTTTTTAAATGAATTGATTTCTTTTTTTTGTGAACAAGCCGGATGAATACACTAATAAAAACAGACTTATGAATATTATATTCCATTTCTACCAATAGATTGTCTTAAATGTTACACACTGGACCTTTTTTAAATAGATGTTATCTGTTGTCTTTAAGTGAGCTTAACACTGTTTGTATTCTCGCTTATTCCCCTGTGGGGAATAACGTATGCTTCCTGTGATTGTAACTGGGTCATATTTTGTGCTCATTCTGTAAGAGGTTGGCATTTTGATGCCAGCGTTTTCCCCCACTGGCATTCGTACGGGTCGTGTAACCTGATCTTCTGTTTAATGAGGATCAGCGATGTGATCTCTGTGGACTTCATTTGGCATGCGCCCACCTGTCTCTGCCAGGCCTGCTTTCATTGCCTCCAACATACTCAGAAGAATCCAACAAAGCCTTTGTTGTTGTAGCTTTACACCCCCTAAAAATGACTTGTGGCATTTGAACTCTCCTTCGTACCCTTACTGTGATCTTAAATTATTACATATGCTCTTGTGTTTCCTACCAGTACTTGAAGGCAAGAGGAAACGAAACCATTCTGCTGAGTCGTCCCTCAACTCCCATGATTCATCCTCTCAGTTCTCCTCTTCAGTGGAATCTGAAAGTGAATCGGATGAAAAGCACAAACATCGCAAGCACAAGAGACACGTGAAGAGTAAACGGTCAAAAAAGAGAAGGAGGGAATCAAAGAAGGAGAAGAACATTCTGCCCTCCAAGCAAAGGTTTTTTTAATCTTTATTTACAATCACATTTTTACATGCTTATATACCTACTCACATGTCTCAAATTTACATAACCACCATTCTGATCCAGTCCGATTAGTATGCAAGTTTAGGACTGACCCGATTCACTGTCAGCTTTAAGAGCGAAAAGGCTCTTTGGTTCTTTGCATAACAAAATATTGTTTTGCATGGTGTCATTGAAGCTCTCGCAGTCCTCTGGAAAGAGAGATGTTGGAGGAGGAGAATGAAGTGGAGGGAGAGAAGGAGCAGAGTGGGAAGAGAGAGAAGCCTGTCGTCCGACCAGAGGAAATCCCACCGGTGCCAGAGAATCGCTTTCTGTTACGACGGGACATGCCCTCTCAGGAAGATAAAACAGAAATGTGAGTTTTAAGTTTGAATTCATTTATGGTTTTTTGGTTTGTTTGTCAGCTAAAATATATACGGTACATCTAAGTAATTCCAGTTGGTGTTTACTTTAAAATTTTATCTTTTCAGAGTTGAGAAAGAAGACGCATCTCTTACAGCTGAACAGAAACCATCAGTCTCCAAGTCTGGACGGAAGATCAAAGGCAGAGGAACGATGGTATGCTCACCTCAACTAAGATCAGAGATTAGTCAGATTTGGTAATAAGGTATTAATTGTTCTTGTAAATTTTTCCTAATCCACTTTGACCAATTTCAAGGCACAATATTTGCAAGTGGACATTATTTCTATTCTATCAACCATAACTTGGTTGCTAGGTGTGGTGGTTCCCAACTTGGGCAACAAAAACACAAAACAACTTATTTTTAGTTTTCTCCATTCTCACCTCAGCCTGCTTTTTACAAGCTACAAGTCCCATAAGTCACTTAAGGCAAAGAATCTTTAAGCACAGCCTCAGCAAGCTCTGTAAAGAGTTTTGACAGTTTCTTATTAATGTAATTTGAAGTATCAATTGATTGAACTTTTTTTACAGAGATATCACACCCCCACAAGGTCTAAATCACGCTCTGCCTCTGTGGAAGAGCGTGGTAGCAGTGAAACTCCGCCGCACTGGAAAGAAGAGATGAAAAGAACCAAGGTTTATCAACCGCCGAGCATTGAGCGATGGAGCAAAGGAGACAAGTAAAATATTTTACTTTGTTACTTAGAGTATCAGAATTGTTCCTTGTTTTTTCTTGCTTCATGCATCTTTTGACTTAACAGATTGAATGACCATTCCTCAAGCAGATGGGACGACGGAAGTGACTCTGCGTGGTCCCGGTCTGCAGAACACTCCTCAGACCGCAGCTCTGAAAGGTCCAGCCAGCGGCGCCAGCAGAGGAAAGAGAAGAAGAAAGCCAAACGCAAGAAGAAGGCCAAAAAACGTAAACACAGCAAGAAGAAGAGCTCCAAGAACAAACCTCAAGAGCCTCACCTGTCAGAGGGTGAAAGGTCGGTGTCTTCAGAAAGAAAGTCCAGAAGATCCCGTTCTCTGTCCCGCTCCTCTTCAAATCAGCATCATTCATCAACTCGGAGGAGACGGCGGTCCTCTCTGTCTCTCAGAGAGTCGCGGTCCTACTCTAGATCCTACACTTCCAGTCAGTCCAGATCTAAAGGGAGGTCCAGGTCTTACTCAAGATCCAGGAGCCTTTCTAGTTCTAGAAGTCGGTCTTTGTCTAGATCCAGATCTCAGTCCTATTCTCGATCGCGGTCTAGATCCAGGTCAAGATCAAGATCCCGTTACAGATCTAGGTCTCCTTCCAGAAAGAGGAGTTCATCCCGATCCCCAATAAAGAGAAAATCCAGCAAGCCCAAACCGGACGCCATGATCCACGTGCCTGAGAAGCTTTCAGACAGCAAAGCCCCGCCTGTCCCCAGACTTCCTGCAGTCCCGGCTCCTGAAAGTGTCCCTGTGATCCCGTTGAGCGACAGTCCTCCACCCTCACGCTGGAAACCTGGTCAAAAGCCGTGGAAGCCCTCCTACATCCATATTCAGGAAATTAAAGCTAAAGTAGCTCCTAGTAACATTTCATCCACTGGACAAGGAGCTGATAGTGTGACAGAAAAAGCTCAGACTTCCGTTACACCCAAATGTTTGCCAGGGGACTCTGGAAGCGACAAGCCACACAAACCTACAGGGCGCTCGCACAGCAGGTCCTCCAGAAGCAAGTCCTACAGCCGTTCATACAGTCGCTCAAGGAGCAGAAGTTACAGTAGGTCCAGGTCCAGATCCCCTTATCAGTATAACAGCAGGTCATCCTCCTACAGCAGATCAGATTCTGAAAACTCCCCGAAAACATCTTACAACAAGAAAAATTCACTAGACAAGGAATGGAAAGAGTATTACAGCTCTCTGAGGAGGATAGAAAATTTAAATAAGTACATTTCACACACCAGTAGTCAGGATACTCAGTCGGGTTCAGAGAAGAGGGCAGGCTGTGAGCATAGCCCTGAAATCAGCATCTCCGGGAGAAGTGGCTCTTGGGAGAAAATAAAAGAGAAAGACAGCACACAGGATCAAGAGACAAAGCATTTCAGCTCAGTGCCAGTGGAGAGCTATAATAGTAGGTCTGAATGGGATAGTGACAGCGATAAAGTGAGCAAAAGCAACAGCGTTGCCCTGTCAAAAAAGCAGAAACAAGCAGTTCAGTCCAGCGAAGTTCTTGACAAGAAGTTGTCTGGATGGAATTCAGAAAGCGACTCTGAAAATATAACAGCCAGGACTTTGGCCATATCTGAAAAAGAGGAAGGGGAGGCAAGTTCAGAATCAGAATACGAGACTTTCAGAAAGACGTCAGAGCCAGTGGATGCTCTGGCATGCAAGATTGCTGCTGCTGCCGCCGCCGCTTCTCACAAGTCAGAGGAAAGTCCTGAGAAGGCAGCAGAGCCAGAGAAGCACAAGAGCAAGAAGAAGGCCAAACGTAAGCACAAACACAAGAGAAGAAGTGAGAACAAAAGCAGTTCCCGTCACAGTAAAGAAAAGAGAAAGAGATCTAAAAGGAAACATCAGAAGCTCAAAGAAACTTTTCATTGGCAGCCACCTTTAGAGTTCGGAGAGGAGGAAGAAGAAGATGAATCAAAACGAGAGAAACATAGTCCTGGTAGAGCTGTCAAAGAAATGCCTGATGTGGACAGTATGAATGAAATGGACCAACATTTAACCTCTTTAAACAAGAATCCTTTTAAAGAAGAAGACAGAGGGCAAAAGCGAGCAAAACACTCTGAACCTCATCTTCAGACATCCGGCAGGAACGGAGCTAATATTCCCACTGTCAAGAAAGAGGAGTCATTTGATGATATGGACATTTGTACCCCAGAACATGACGCTGAAATCGTCGAACCTCCAATTACAAAAGATTCTCATAATAACGCCCCTGAATTAACCCAAAAATCAGAGTCTTCAGATATGGAAAGTAAAGATAGAGCTTTACCTCATAGCAAAGAACAGCCTTCTGTTACCTTCACAACAACCGCTGGTGGACCGCAAGATGAAGCAACCACCAGCAAACCTACAGGCACTGTAATCAATTTCAAATGGAGGCCTTTGAAAGGAATGTCAGCCCTGCAGAATGTGAACGTGTCCCCTGTTGCCACAAAAAACATCCAACTTCAAGAGAACCAGACCTCCAACGCACACGGAGTACGAATGGAGATTAAAAGCAAAAGCCGGGTCCGACCGGGATCTCTCTTCGATGAGGTCCGTAAGACCGCGCGGCTCAACCAGAGGCCGAGGAACCAGGAGAGCTCCAGCGAGGAAAGGTCCCCCTCTGTGGGAAAGACGAGGGGAACGTCCCACACGCGGTCCCCAAAGAAGTCCAGGTCCGCGTCCAGGAAGTCTCGCTCCGTGTCAAGTCACCGGTCCCGCTCCAGAGGCTGGTCCCGCTCCTACAGCAGGTCCAGGAGTCGATCCCGCAGCTCCAGTTATTCCTCCAGGTAAGACAAAAAGCACTTTTGATTAGATGAAGAGCATGAGGGCACCATCAGTAAATCTTTGTAAATGCTGGAGGGGCTCCTTCTGACGTAGATCAAGAATGTTGTGAAGTGATAAACGTGATGGATGTGAAGCATTTGTTCTAGCTCGGGTAAAATGTGATTTATAGCGCAGCGTAATTCTTTTAGGAGCCGCAGCAGGAGTCGGAGGAGACGTGGAAGAGGACGGTCACGCTCTCGCAGCAGCACATATCGAAGTTACAGGAGTCACAGGTAAAGCCCTCGAAACAAGGATTTAATCATCTACTGTGGAGATAATGGATCCCAGTGGGGAAGTGTTTTTAGCTCAAAGCAGTGGAAACCTTGGAGCTTGTGAGGTTTCAGTATCGTGCTCTTCATGTTACAGTTCATCCACATGGATTTAAGAACAGTCAAAAACCCTCTTAGTCATGTTAAAAATGTTTTAACTGTTTACACAACCTTCCCAAGACTTTCCATTGTGTATTTTATCAGCACTAATGTATGATTAGTCTTGAAGTATCTGTCAAACCTTACCCTCTTTCTTTTTTTTTTCTCCTATCAGTCCAACGTACAGTAGAAGTCATTCCAGAAGTCGCTCATATAATCGTCGTCGGAGATCCAGGTCTGTCAAACTGACACTGAGAAACAGAAATGTTTAATTTCTCAAGGGTTGTTTCCGGGTACCTTTTTTAAGATCAGATGAAAACACAATTATGCAAACACTTAATTGAGATTAAAACACCACAATCTAATTTAACAATCAGTTAAAGTTTGGAATGAGGTGTGGATTTGTGCAGTATTAACTGAGAGACTGAGAGAACCCAAACAGTGAACACAATA